AATTCTAGATCATTATAATAATAATTCTAGAGCACAGACTCTCAAATCATAAAAGATTCTCAACAAATTCTAGATCATTATAATAATAATAATAATACTTTATTTACGGACGTAAACCCTTTGATATCTAATATCTACAACTAGAATGTCTCAAGAATTTGTGTTGTCCATTAGCTTCTCTTTGCAACCTTGTATCTTCAAGAATCCGTAAAGTGTTATTGTTAATCCTGTCGTACTAAGTTTGTATCATTTTTTGTTCAATAATATTTCTTACGTTTGCAGTTTTCTTTGCACGGTTTATAAGCACAATCAACGATGATTTTTCTGTATATTTTCTCAAAATTTTCCAGCGAAAATTCTGCAATGAAATATTCTATCCAGATGGATTCTCAATATTAGCACTAAACGTACCGACACTTTATGTATACCCATTCTTACCGTAGGCGGTCAAATGACCGGACGTGAAATAATCATATCTTTCCGAAAGGAAAATAGTGTTTAAATGATGAGAAAAAAAGATTACATATTTACATTTTTATTTTTAACAAGAACAGGAAAAAACAGCTGCACGGTTTTAAATTAAATTTTAGAACCGGTCATTTGACCGGGCGTGGTACGTTTAGTGTTAATTCCTGTCTAATCGATGAACAATTCGAAATTTTAAAAAAACGACAAAAATCCGAAATTTATCGAGAAGAAAACGAAAAATCGAACCTTGAACTCGGCGGATAAGAGGAAGCAGCGTGGAGAGGATCCCGATGATGATGATACCGTGCATCCGGTCCGAAGGGTCGAATCTGCGCGGAGGAACCGCGATGACTAGACGGTCCAGACGCCCCTTCCAACGAGCTTTGAGAGCTGACAGACGAATTTCTTGTGAACAATCGGCCCATACTTCCTCCGGATCCGCTGCTCCCGCTCGGATAGCTTCGGCTTTGATGTGGCAAGCCCCCTGCTTCAGACGTCCAGCGAATTAATCGGCTTTCAGCGACGGCGAAAGAATTATCATGGTAATCACCGGCTAGATGGACTCCCGCGGGCTCGCCTCGTTACCAACTTCGTTACCATCGCCCGTAAATTTCTTTCTAATCTACTTTCCCCCAGCGAACCTATTGCTACGCCCGCCATTTTATATCGAGCTGTAATTTAGAGGCGACCGATCACCGGGACTGCAATTTCGATCGGTTAACTCTTTCGGGTACGGGGCCCGAGGACACACTACGTTTGTGTAACATTTTTTCTTCGTTTTATCGCTTTAATCAGCTTCTTTAACCCTTTCACTGTGGTAAATTTTGGTAGGTGACCGTGATGTGACGGATCGAAAAATTTTTGTTTCGTATTCTTTGCAAATTTTTCTTTTTTTAAGTTAAAGTGGAAGTTCGCAAAGATTAAATTAAGGTGAAAGTCTACGAAGGATTAAATTAAGGTAGAAATGCGAAAAAAAGGGGCGAATAGTACAGTGCGAACTAATTTTCAAAGTGCCTATTGGCGTCAATAGCAGTGGAAGGGTTAAGGAGACCAATGACACTGTTTATACAATACAAAATGATTAAATTAGGTTTTCTTTCTTTATCTCTTGATTTTTACACTTTTAATAATAAGGAAACATGATTTCTATTTTATCTAGGAATATGTATATTTTCTATATTTATGCTGATGGTGTATTTTTATTTTGCAGTCAAATTTTGTAGATTTTAATATAGATTTTATCATAATATAGATTTTCCAATATTTTACACTGGTGGTGCACTTTAATTTTACAATGAAATTTTATAAATTTTAATTTGGATTTTACAATATTTTATATTAGTGGTGCACTTTAATTTTACAATGAAATTTTATAAATTTTAATTTGGATTTTACAATATTTTATATTAGTGGTGCACTTTAATTTTACAATGAAATTTTATAAATTTTAAATATAGTTTTATCATGGTATAGATTCATAGATCGATAATATAGATTTTACAATATTTTGCACTAGTGCTACATTCTAATTTCACAATAAAATTTCACAGATTTCAATCTAAATATTAATGTAACATAGATTCACAGATTATTAATATAGATTTTATACCGATGAAAAACTTCTCGTACCACCCAACTTCAAACATTATAGCCGTCTTTATCGTTAGTCTATCAGGTGACACAGTTTTTTCACCACCGTACCCGAAAGAGTTGAAGGATTTATCCATCGTTACATGGTACACGTTACAGAGCACGATTTTGATGCGCGGCAACGAGCGGGGATTACCGAGTGTACGCGGCCGCTTCTGGTTTTGGTTGCGCGATTTTACAGCGCGATAGAGGGTGGTTGGTTCACGCTTGTTCAAGGTGTCTTTATCGATCGATGATTTTCAAGGCAGCGGCGGAGGACAGAAATTATGTATTGTAAGATCATCGTGGATTATCGTGTTCGTGATGTACCGATTTTCTGATGAACATGAGCGTTCCGGATGAAGGGATGAAGTCTCACCTGATTCAACAACCACGGAGGAACATGGTTGCACTGCGTGCTGCTCCTTGGTCACGTTAAATTCCTGAAAGGAAATTTGATCGTTACTAAAAGATGATCGAGGCACATTTTTATGCGATTTAGTTGATCATAAAGTTTTATTATTGTAACTTCTTTTTTGAAGTTGGAAGAAAATGATTAATTTTTTATATATGCACAAACCGACGGAAAAATATTGAGGGGCCCAACGGGAATCGAACCCGGGACCTTCGGCTTAGCAAGCCGAGGCTCTGCGCGCTACGCCAACCACTCCCTCTGTATTCTCCCTTCGAGGTTTCCTATTTGGGTATGGAGGCCCCGGTACTACACTCGGCCATTCTGAACTCATATTCGCCCTCGAATGTCCTCAGTGCAACACTTTCGGGCACACTCGCCCACACAGTGGCACACAGCCGAAACAACGCATTTTTGGGAGACGTGCAACCCTCGAGATGTTTTCATCTCACAGCGCCTGGCTTCGTGCGGCCGTAGATGCCTCCATCCCGGACGAGCTCTCATTTGTACGAACCGACGGAAAAATATCGAGGGACCCAAACCGGGACCTTTGGCTTACCAAGCCGAGGCTCTGCGCGCTACGCCAACCACTCCCTCTCTATTTTCCCTTCGAGGTTTCCTATTTTTGTGTATGGAGGCCCCGATACTACACTCGGCCATTCTGAACTGACATTCGCCCTCGAATGTCCTCAGTGCAACACAACTCAACCACTTTCGGACACACTCCCCCACACAGTGGCACACAGCCGAAACAACGCAGTTTTTGGAGACGTGCAACCCTCGAGATGTTTTCATCTCACAGCGCCTGGCTTTGTGCAGTTGTAGATGCCTCCATCCCGGACGGGCCCCCAACCATTTGTAGGAACCAACGACGGAAAAATATTGAGGGACCCAACGGGAATCGAACCCGGG